TTTTTTCAGTCTATTACTTAGCTGGTTCAATCTTTGCTTATCTGATGGGCAACGAGACATGTGCCATACTTTACGTGCTTTTCTTTTTTCTTTAATTAAATTTCTAACCTCCATTGGGTATAATTTATAGTCTGGGTAAGTTTTGTTGACCGTTGTATTATTCCATACCGCATTTTGTATGTCTGTTATGAAGTTATTAGCCTCTTCCTCTAATTGGTTTGAGGTTCTTAACGGTGTTTGCAAAATGATACGATGTTGTAATTCTTCACGGAATCCAGACCAGTTTGTGGTTTTGTTATATAGCCTCAATGGTTCATTTTTAAGAATAATTGATTCGCTTACAGTTAAAATGACAGCAATGTGATCAGAGCATATATTAAAACTTTCATTCACATGGGTATAACCACTGGCCAATCCTTTTGAAATGAAGAAGTCGATGAGATCTGGAGTTCGATTTACATCCGCGGGCCAATATGTAGGTTTATCACTTGAATGGAAGTTACATTTCAGCTTACTTGCAGCTTCATACAAGGCTCTACCCTTGGGCGTAGTAATTCTTGAGCCCCAAAAAGTATTCTTGGCGTTGAAGTCTCCCCCAATTATGAAGTTATCACCTAAGCTCCTAATTAATGTTTTATATTCCTCTTTTAGATTATGTTTAGGAGGACAGTAAATAGCCGAAATTTTATATTCTTTGTTATTCATTCTTACTCTAATAGATGCAACTTGCATAATATCCTTTTCAATTTTTGGCTCCAGGTAATGTTTTATATTGTTTTTAACAATGATTGACGCACCACCCCTAGCTTTGTTTTCAGGATGTATGGAGTGATATTCTTTTGAGCACGTGTAACCTCTTAAATTTAAGAAGCTCTCATTGGTAAAATGGGTTTCCGATATCAGTGCTATGTCAATTCTTTCATTATGTGCTTCTAATTCCAAAATGCTTCTAATTCCAAAATGCGATTTAATAGTCCGTTTGCATTCCAGTTCAAGATTCTAATCGTGTCAGACATCTTTTCTATCCTATCACAGATGTGTTTTTCAGCTATTTTTTGCTCGTCAAGTCTTTTAATTATTAGATCTAAAGTTCTTTCTATACTAGTTTTATTACTATTGCTATTTCCTACATTATGACTAGAGTGATTGTCACGCACAGCTCGCGCATATGAAATTCCACTCGTTACTTTACTTGAGATTTGATTACTTTGTCTTACACTTACTAAGTTTGTAGTTGTTGCTGGTCTGTTTGAGTTTTTATTCACTGACTGTCTTTGCATTCGCAAATCTCTTCTTTTCTGCTGCTCTTTGGCGATTTGGCACCCGCGATAATTTGCCGGATGATTGCCACCACAGTTGGCACACTTTGCAGCGACACTCCTAGGAATTGGGCAGTTTGCTGTGAGGTGATTTCCACCGCATCTTACACATTTTGGCATCTTCTTACAGAACCCCTTTGTATGATTGTAGTCCTGGCACCTTTTGCACTGGGGGATTACTTTTCCAGATCTCCTCAAAGGTTCTATTTTAACTACGAGGCCCAAGATTCGGTTTAATTGATAAATTTTGTCTATGTTTTCTTTATTATCAAACGATAGCATGAAAAGTGAAAGTGGTCTTCTTCGGATAGTTCGCTCACCCCTTTCATCAGTACTTCTTTCAGTTTTTAAAATGTTTACGGCGTCTATAATTTTAAGCCCCTGGCCCCTAATATTATCTATGATGTCATTTTTATCACAAGTCCAGTGAAGTCCTCTGGCCATCACTTTAATATGCCTATCATTTTTGTCTTCATAGGTGAACCATTCAATTTTATCACTATCAAATTTTTTTGATAAGGCACGATAGTCTTCTATTTTTTCTGTATTAATTTTCCAGACGTTATTATTAAGCGCCAGAACCTTATAGTTTTGCGTTATTGTTTCTATTATCTTTTTAACACTATTGAAGTTATCAATTCCAACAACATTAATTGGTGGGGGTTTTCTTACTATATCACTGACTGGAGCTTTGAGGTCATTTTTGCTTTGCTGTGTATCATTTTGTACATTCACAGCCTTTGAGGAAGGTGTTTTAGGTGTCTCGATCATAGCTGCGTTATTCGTATTCATTTCAGTGGACACCCTGTCTCCCACTACTACTTCAGGAGAACTCTTAGCTTTTCTTTTCTTCACTTGTCTCTTAGAGGACAACGTCGTAGGTATACTATCAGTTTCGAAGCCCGTAAAGTCGCTGCCAGATGACGATAGCCTTTTACGCAACATGTTATCTTTATGGCCACTCTGATTATGGCTTCCATTGTTAATGCTGCTTTCTAGCCTTTGGTTTAGGGCAGCCTTTAATGAAGAGTTTTCCTCCCTTAGTTCTTTTACTTCCGAGAGCAGTGTTTGAACCAAAGACTCGATGTCAATGTTGATTTATTTCCTGGATGTGAAGTGGTATTATACTGCAATAGTTGGCCCCCCCCCCAGAATCCGTGGGGCCGACCTCGTTAGAGGGTGGATTTACCAAACTAGTTGGCGTACCACCTGGGGTATTCAATCCATGTGTTTTATCCATTGCATTATAAAATAATTCGATATTTGTACCATCTCTGGTTTGTTGCACATTTGTATAGCGAACCGCTTGCTCCAAGACAGACGCCCGCTCGTAGCCGCCAATTGTTGAACAGACGCTACAGGACCGCCCTCTCGTCTGTTGCTGACCCTATCTACACCACCTGGGTTGAGACCAGATCTTTCGAAGGGGTTGCTCAGCGCAACAGGGGAGACCACGTGTAGGTGAGAGTAGGCGTCAGGTAGCAGAGGCTAGGAGGATGTGACTGGTTCCCATCCTTATAATCGCATACTACCCATTCCTCCCCCTATGTCTAAAATCCTACGAATTATCCCTACGAATTATGAGTCAAACTTTACACTATTGAATAAATATTTCACTTAATTGTTAAAATAAATAATATTCACATGTGCGTGGTGTAAAACATTCATCTGTTTTTACAAATGGGAATAACAATTTTGATCTATGCACCTTTTTTTTCTTGCAGAAATTTTTTTTTTCGATTTGTTATATTTTTTTTTTAATTTTTATTATATAATGATCTTTTTTTTAACACTAACACTTTTTAATATTTTATAATTTTTTATTTACAAACTATACTTTATAATGTTAATTTAAATTTGACGGTGCTGGGGGAAAGAAAGATTCTGAGGTTTTTGGCTTGATTGTGTTTTTTTTTTCAAAATACGATATTTTAGGGAGTGCAAGCTAGATAGAAACAAATATGCTTCTTCTTTTTATTTCTAATTCCTTGTCGACATAGCATCAGTAATTTTTTTTGTATAAACACTGCACCGTTGTACATTTTTGATTACTTCCCCTACCATTGATTACTATTACACCCGATATTAACCTAATATCGTTTACGAAACGTCTCCTTTTTATGATAAACTTCTGTGGGAAATACCTTTATATAATGTCTTTATATCTAACAAGTCCCAATGCTCAGAGAGAAACTTGAAAGCACGACCTTATTTTATATGGGTTTTTTTTTTAAATCAAAGTGGCTATTTTTGAGAAGAAATATTAAAATAAATTCACACTTATTATAAAGCAGGTAAAATTTTAAAAATATATTTGAAAAATCAAGAAAATATATTAATATTTTCATTCATAACCACTTTAAAATTCTTGAAATTGCGGAAAAACAACAAGCACAATGTTATTGAAAGCATTTCATTATTTTTAAGTGAACAGCTTTTTTTTCTCATAGGGTTAACTTACCCTAACTTACTCAAGATATGGGAAGTAACTTTGGTGTCCAGTTGAAAATATAATTAATGAAAGGTAATTATTGAATATCGATATTAATACATAGTAAAGAAAAAATTTTAAGAGGGAATTAGAAAATAATATCTAAAATACAATCAAATATTATTTTTTAAATACAAATTTTATATACGCTTCTAAATTTTACCTCTATTTGTGAGAAAATTTTTTACCTAAGTAAAAAAATATTTAAAAGGTTTTGGAAAAGACAATAATATATTTATATGACCGGATTCGAATATCTTTTTTATTTTTTAAATAAATAGTATCTTAGCAAATGACTCAAATCTTAGGAAACTCCGATTGAAAAACGACAGGTACTGATGTAAATTTTTGTCCGTTTGCGTTTACTATTAAGATTCATAAACAGGCAGGGCCATTTTATAAATAGGTTGCTCTTGTTTACCTGCTAATAAAATGTGAAAGAAGAACACAACAAAATTTTTGAAGCACCCAATATAACATGTTTGAAATAGTTTTAAAATAATTATTTAAAAAAAATTTTATTGGAAGTAGGTACATACATATTTATTTTTAATAACTTAAAAACTAACTGAAATTATTTGAAACAATTTTATAAGCAACGTATAAATAACCGAAATGAGATAATTCAAATTGTTGAAATGTGTCAACCTATACGTATTACTTTTACTAACATTTTTGTTAGCCGACACTACTTAACTTACCTTATTGGGAAATACAAAATGTGCATGAAAAATCATACATCCTTCCTCATTAACATTTGAAACCATACTGAAATATGAATTTCAATTTTTTTTTCATTTTTTCTTTCCTCCTACCTTTCTTTCTTTTTCGTGCAATAGAATTTAAATGGGAAGCTTTTTAAAAAATGTGTATAATATCCTGAGATTTTTTAAAATATTAAGAAATATGACACGATCAGTAGAATTTAAAGAAAAAAACAGGAACGAAGCTAAAAATTCGTAATATTTCGTAAAAAAAATTTAGTATTGGTACTTGTTAGATATAAAGATATTACTTTATATATAAAAAGTTAACAAATTGAATTTTGAACATTTTAGAATTTAGACTAGCAATGATACAATTTGAAAGTCTTCTCAAGGTTCTATCCCTGTTTATTTGATTAGTTTTTATTTTCTCCAACCTCTAGTTGAAAAATTTCGTTAAAAACTTAATTTCTATGACTTTTGTGGTGTCATTCGCATGAGTTGCGTTGTATTAAAATCTGAGTAATAAATTTTTTTTTTTTTTTTTTTTTTATAATTTTTCTTAAGTTTTGTACAATTTTCTGTAGAAAATTTGAATAAATTTTGTGAAAATATTGTGGATTTTTGTTTATAAAGTTATTAATACTTGAACGGGAAGAAGAAAATTTGTAAGGCCCATATTGTTTTTTTGGTAGAGAATTAATTTTGTTTGGTAAGTTTTTAGTAAATCTTAAAATAGCAAATTATAAAATACATAATTATAATAATAAAAGAGAAATGTTTAAGAACAGACAAATAAGTTTTGCTCAATGAAATTTCTAAATGATCGAAAACTGGTGAGTCATAAGTTACTAACATTTTGTCAAGAAGGTGTAAAAGTAGATTTAATTAAAAAAGATTATTTATATCGTGCATTTCTAATGTACAAAGAGGAGAAACATAGTCCAAACGCAATCTAACTTGGTAAGAAGCTAGAGGATTAAAGTTTTTTTTTTTTTTGCTTTCTGGGGTGGTAATATTTTGTCACATGCAAAAAAAAAACCGGTGTTCATTAAATTTTATTTCTTTGGAAGTATTCTGGGAACTTAGAAAAATTAACATACACATGTTTAAGTATAAATATGTATGTATCCAGAGCGCGTATTAAAGACTATAAATTTTTATAAAATACTATTTTTGAAATCAAGGGATTAGTTCAATTTTAATAAATATTAAGCGTCAAGGTTACTTTTAAAATATAAGCTTGATTAAAAACTAATTTTCATAGCAAAATTGAATTTTTTTCCTGAAAAAAATCACGAGACAAGCTTATTATTTTTTAATAAGATAACTATGTTAAAATTGAATGCGATCTCGTGAAGAGTCCTACTTCCATACATAGGCATTCGTAAACATAAATAACAAGCAAACAATGGCTAGGTATGAGAATATATGTATGTCTGTGCATATAGATTGTTGTAAGCTAATTTACAAGTTGAAATTATTGAAGTTATTTTTATTTTAAATGACAATTCTTCAGTTTTAGGAATTATAATAGGAATTGTAACTTTTTTTATTCAATTCGATAACAACGTTGGTAAATCGTATAATATACTTAATTAAAAAAAAAAAAATAACTTTAAAATTATGTATAAGGAAATGTTATCACATTCGCGACTGCAAGTTATGTTTTCTAGTTTAGCGAAGGTATTGCAAAAGATTATAAAAATGACAAACGCTGGAAATGAAAATTTTATTGTTAAATGATTGTAATTTTAACTAATGCCCTTAAACAGAGTTTCGTATAGCAAAGTTATTTAAAAAAAAATGTGGCATGCAATTCGGCTTGTAATTTTTTTTAGCAGCTATAACGGGAGTTATAAAAAAGACGGGAATTTTAATGTTGTGTCAGGTTCTGGCTGGTATCTTGACAAAATTTTACAATGTTTACAATGTTTATTTTTTACAATGCGTTTCGAATTCTATTAGTTTACAACTAATAGAATTCGGATAGAGTTCGGAGGGTGGAAATAAAAATAAGAGAAAATTAGTTTTTATTTGACAATTGAGTTTTATTGTATTTAGTTTTGGATTTAAATATGATCAAATTTTTGTATGTATCTGTATTTTAAGAATCCGAAGTTGGCAAAGGCATGATCTTGAGAACCAGAAGGTATGATCCAAAAAAGGTATTCTTGAATTTGGCCAAAGAAATTAAATGCATATTACCTACGACGAAAAAAATGACATCTTATTTGGAAAGTTGTTTTATGTACATATTATACAACTTATATAATTTATATAATATTTATATTTGCACGAAAAATAACACAGATTAAATGTTTTAAATAAAAAACAAATATTTTATTTTTTACTTAAAAAAACTCTGATGTTATTAATTTATTTCTCTTCGAAGGTTTTATATATGTATAAAAATGTACAAAAAAAATATAAATATTTAAAGGACAATGAAAATTATATAAGCAGTTACTCAAAGTGAAAATGGTTCAACTTTGAAACGTTTTTTTTATTTAACGGAATATCGGATTAAATAATTAAAATTTATAAATTTGCTAAATTAATATATTCCTTTTTTAAAACCACCCTAATTAAATTAATCATTTACTATTTAAATGAATAAAAATAGAATATTTTAAAATATTGTATAAGAATTACGTCACACTCAAAATGGTCTACCCAGACAACACTAAACAAAGAGAAATAAGAAAGATTATAAGTAAAACACGTACGGCAATTCAAAATATAATAAAGAGATCATTAAATATACAGATCTATCATTAATTACGTTCGTATCTCCAAAATTCGAAAAATTACGAATTTCATGTCCTCAGTTCCGAATTACTAAAATTCTGCTACGAATATTCCTAATAGGGTAATCACGAATTACTTTCGTAGTAAGAATAACCCTCAAAAGTCTACGAAAGAAATAACCACTTGTAAAAGCAATTTAAAGAGAGTGTTTGTTTTAAATTTCAAAGTTTTAAATTTTTTTGTTTAATTTTGAGTTCTTCCAACACAGCTACAATGAAAGGAAATGAATTCATTCATATTTGCTAAAAAAATGTTTTCACTTTTAAAGAACACTCAAAAACTAAAAAAAAATGCAAAACTTAGTGAAAAAAATAAAAAAAATACATTTTGAAAGATGTTTCGTTCTGGAAAGATGTGTCATTTACCGATAAAAGAAATTTAATATATTTGGATCGGCCGGAAAGGTTACACTTTGAAGAAAAGTAAATGAAGACCTGAAATCACAAGATGTAATTCCCACATCGTAAGTTGTGGCATCAGCATCGGGAGTTGGTAATTTACATTTTATTGAGAGAAATATCTAGATATATTGAAAAATAATTAAAAGCAAAGTGCTAATAAACTAGGAATTGGAGGTACATTTCATATGTACCAGGACAACGACCCGAAACATACTGTTACAATAGTAAGGGAATGGATATTGTAGCACAATCCAAAAGTAAGAAAAACTCAACCGCAATCAAGAGATATCAACATAATTGGGGCCAAATATACATTTTTGCCTATATAATGAGAAATAATCAACCGATTTCATTGAAATTTAATATTTAAATTCTTCGTACTAAAACAATGGACATATAAATTTTTTGGAAAGATCAGAGCTCGAAAACTGATCTGCGAGCCGATTTTATATTTCTTACCGTATTTACGGAGCGAATTGATGGAATTTCTTGAAATTCGATATTTGAGTTCTGGTTGTTACCGAAACTAACTGGCGAGCATTTCAGGGAAGCCGAGTAGCACAAAACAAAAATCTACTAAGAGCCAAATTTACATTTTTCTAGGTGTGTTAACTATAAGCTTACTAATGCCTTAAAAATTAGAAAGAAGTAATCAACAGGCATTTTTATAATATTCTGTAGCACTTTGACCTAACTAGACAATACACAATTCGGTCGGTTATGTGCTGACCACACGTTTTTTGGAAATACAAGCATTCGAGCTTAAGGAAAACTTCCAATTTTCCTCATCTTTTATTTTTTTAAATATATACATTTAATAAATAAGATGCGATTATTTTTGCACTTTTTTTTTTCATTTTTCAGAAATACATATTTAGATTATGTATTTCTTTCACTTTTAACATTCATCAAAAGACTAATTTCGCCATTGGATACATTATTTAATCTTTATTACAACATTTATGTATTACTTAGCAATTCACAAATTTTCTACATTTTTACCGACCGTATTGTGTATACAATAGGTAGGTTATGTGATGGCAACAAATTTTGCATATCGAGTTTTCGGTGGGAATGCACTTCTCCATAGTAGGGAAGTGTAAGTAAACTATTTTTAGCAACCTGTCGGTCTGTCTGTCTGTGTGTGCACGCGTGTATCTCAAGTTCGACTGAACCGATTTTGATGAAATTTTATATGTAAGTTTATTTCGACCATGGCACGGATTGGTCAAATTTTGGGATATATCAGGCCTCGGGAACTGCACTTTTTAGCGTGCCTGTTTTACATTTTTGAGCATTTTGAAGAAAATATTCAACCAATTTACTTGAAATTTTATATATAAGCTTCACTAGACCGACCGCGAAACCTCCTAACTTTTGAAAGAAATCAGGTATCAGCAACTGGACGTTTACTACGGGCCAAATATACATTTTTGCGTATATAAAGAGAAATAATCAACCGATTTCATTGAAATTTAATATTTGAATTCCTCGTATTAAAACAATGATCATATAATTTTTTTTGGAAAGATCAGGGCTCGAAAACTGATTTGCGGGTCGATTTTACATTTTGCACCATATCTACGGAACGAATTGATGGAATTTCTTGAAATTTGATATTTGAGTTCTGGTTGTTACTGAAACTAACTGGTGAACATTCCCGGGAATTTAGATAGCACAAAGTGAAACTCTACTAAGAGTCAAATTTACATTTTTCTAGGTATGTTAACTATAAGCTTACTAATGTCCTAAAAATTAGAAATAAATATTTAACAAACATTTTTAAAATATTCTCTAACATTTTCACTTAACTAGATAATACACATTGCGGTCGGTTATGTGCTGACCACATCAGATTTTTATTATTATTATTTTTTTTAGTAAATCTTTTGGGCACAATAGAGCACTGTTACCAATTTCAAAAAATAATTAAGAGAAAACTAACCAATTTACAAATTCCTGATTCATTTTATCAAAAATTTGTTATAATACTGTGTTTCACAAATATACATATGTATATTATGTATTTTTTGTGTTTTCACTGATTTTTATTTTAGTAATGACAAATATTTTTTATATTGAAAACATTACATACAATTATCGTCATTTCTTTTTACCACTTTTCCAAAAAAATTAAAAAAAAAGTGTTTTGTCAGTCCGTCCGTCCGTCAGTGTGTCTGTTTACAAAACTTTTATTACTAGCAAATAGAAACCTTAAATTTCATACGTACATAGATATTTACTAGAAACTTATTTCCGTACATGAAAATTTTTACCTATATCTCCCAGTTCTAAAAGTTATAGACCCTCAAAGACAAATGCCATATTTAGTTATTTTAAATAAACTATCATCATTTATTAACTTTTGTCAACGCAGAAATGTGGCGTCGGGATTTTTCTACCGCGACGCAGCATAATTAAATATTTAAAATGAAAAATGGATTCTAAAATAACACGTTTTATTTAATACATATACATTTTTTTTAAATTTTTGGTTAAC